CAATTAGAAAAGAACAAAAAAAAAGTTATGGGCAAAAGCAGACACAAGGACACTCCTGCTGGAGGAATGTCCTACCAAGCCCTGCAGGCTCTTCTCCATCGTTAAAATATGAGTTGTTTCTGTGCCGCTTCAGGGAGCAAGGGAGAGGGGGGTTATGTCTGATGCAGGCTGGGGGAGAACTGGGCCAGGGTCTCCCATTTCCTAGCTGATTTGGCAGATAGGATGCTGGATGAACCAGCATTTCATGTGATAGTGAAAAGCCTGATCCATTTTAGTGTTTTGAAGACTACTGTGGGTCTCTAGCTTTGGGGTGGAGCCTTTTGCACTAGATATCAAAGGGACTGTGACCACCCTGAGCCCACATACCCTGACACAACACCCCAGCAAAGCAGGTTATGAAGGCAAGTCTTGTGCTCTAGCCCAACAGTTCCCCAGGAATATGTGAGTGTTGGAAAGGTCTTTTACGTTGCCTTACTTACACCTCAAATAATACAGTCTGAGAACTTGACGTATAGCTTCTACTCCTGGGAACTGCAGCCTAAAAGAACATTTTAGCACCTATCTTGTAGACAGACAGAGCTGTTTTTGGAAGTAGCCCTTAGTGTCAGGCTTACAAAGCTATTTAGGGGGTTAACTCTTATTGAGCATCTCAGCTTTAAAGGAAATAAGTCTAGGAGTACTAGAGAGGGAGTACTCACTGAGGCAGAGCTTCAACTACTGTAAATAAATACTATTGATTTGAACTTTCACATAGTTCAATAACAGAGTAGATTTAAAGGAGCATGATGCGCATAAGATTTTAAAAAATCAGAGACCTGGTGCCCTGGCACCTTTATGATTACAAAAAATCCTCATCATCTCTTAAAAAAGAAAAAAAAAGAAAAAAAGGAAAAAAAAACCTAGACATTAATCTGGTAGTGAAATTAATCCTCTGAACAATCCGCTAAATCTGACATCTTTCCTTTTTCTGAAGTAAGGTTTCTTATTTGGATCTTTCATGAGTAAACTAACAGATGCTGGTAGCACCTATACTTTAACTGTTCTGCCTGCTTTCTTGCCTTAGTCCTCTCCTCCTGTCCCCTAGTCCTGGGGAGGAGGCAGGTGGTAAAGCTGCACAGCACAGTTAGAACAAGCTATTTCTGAGTGTTCTTGAAAAAAATTAGGGACCTAACAGAAAAGGTGGCTGAGAATTTAGGGCAGGTGCAGGTCAGAAAGAGGACTACCCTGCCAAATGTGGGGGTTTGGAGTCCAGCTTCTTGTGTTCCTTGGTGGGTCCAGCCCTTAAAACAGTCTGTTTCCTCACAGAAACATTGTTTTATCCCAAGGTACACAGCCACGGGAGAGCAGAGGACAAGCAGAAAGAGCAGTATCATGAACATATTAGAGTCAGAGAAGCTCTTTAAGGTAAAGGAATGTATCTGAAATGAAAAAAAGAAGATAACAGGTTCTAATTTTCACCTCCTTTAATAAACTGTGAGTTTCTTATTCATTGTGTTTCCTACATTCAGAAGTCTTTCTCAAAGAGATGCGAGTTTACACCCTTTAAAGGCGATAGTCGTACTGAATTTTCCTTTAAACATTGAACTCAAATGTTTACCTTTTTGACCCAGCATAAAATATTAATTTTATTTTTATGGAAAAGGTTTTATTTTTCTTTAATCTCAGATTTTCATTTTCCAGTCACACAGAAGGTAGTTACCCTAGAATACCCTTAAAGGTATTCGAGACTCAGTTTTTTAATGACAACATGTTTTACTATATTTCTTTCATTTCAACAAAGTTTCTAAGACCTTAAAACAATCACAGTTATTTTGAAGTTTAGATAGTATGTTGAGCTGGTTACTTTCCATAGTTGTGTCATTTTACTTCCTTGATTTTTTTCCTCTCTCTTAAGTATTTGATCGAGTGGTACAGCATGAAATAGCACAGTAATTGTTCAAAATAAAATTTCCAAATTATAGTTGATGAAGTTTATTCAAAAGAAATGAAAAAATTTCCAAAAGGATAGGACAAATCTGTGGTAAATATTGAAACTAAACAGCAATAAACAATAGTTTGTACTATTTTACACTAGAAAGTCTACTTCTATAATCCGAACAGCAAACAAACTCTTGCTGGGTGCCATTCTGACAGATTAATAAAATATTTAAAGAGTTTTAATATTGCATTTCAAATTGAACTTTTGGAAGTTTCTCTTGTGTATAGCTTACTAGTTTTTAAACCAATGAGAATATCGATACATTTTGGGTTGTTTTGGTTTTGTTTTTAAATTGTATCAGTCTCTTGTTCAGCTGCTGTTCACTGATATTACTATGGTACAAAAATGAAGCTGTTGTTTTGGGTCTGTTTTTTGAAAAAAAAAATATTGTTCTTATTATGCTATGTGATGTGATTTTCACTGTAGATTATCCTGTTAGATATGTCTGCAGAATTTGAATTAAAACAGATTAAATACCTGCAAAGGTGTGCACTACAGATTTTGTTTTCTTCCTGAAATCTCAAAAATAAGCAATTGTTTTGAAAAGACAAGCTAAAAGTACCAAGAGGGAAAAATAAGGGCATTACCAGAAATAATCAAAACAGTCTGGTATTCCAGGTACTTAACTTCAACCTCTGCCCCTTTTTTTTTTTTACCCTCAGTAAAGTAGGAATGTATTTTGATTGTCTCTATAACCAGTGAAACAATACCATCTTCTCAGTTTATGGGTATTTCTGTGTCAGGATTCCAACTGAGAACCTCTGTGTAATCAAATCCATTGCATTATCATTTTGGCATTTTAATATCAATGGGATCATAAGAAATGACCCAATGCTAAAAGGTTTTATTTGTAACGCTGTGTACAACTTAGAATTATCTGCTATGACATTTGATAACTCAGGAAATAAACCAACTTATTAGTAGTACAGTTTTGTGTATCCTCATCAACTTCACATGCAAGCATTTATATATCTTAAAACCTTCAGTAAGTGAAATTAAAAAAAAACCAAACATCCCTTGCAATGTGTCCTTGTTCGGGAGTACACAAAACCAAAATAAGGTGTTTTCTAATGGCATATGAAATTGTAAACAATGTAAGTCTTCAGCGATAAGTTGAAAGGACACTTTAGTTTAGGATTTTAGGTTTTTAGCTGAATGACGCTATTATTGCTCAAATAGCGAAGAGAAGCCTTGTGTCCATGTTATTCTCAGAAGAACCTAGACTCCTATTTTGCTGTGCATGTGAAGAAAGCTTTCCATTGGAGAAGGCAACGCAAAATGTGCTTTTCTCTGTCAGCTTCCTTTCTAGCCAGCTGAGTAGAAATGGTATCTGATTTGTAGGCAGACTTATGATGCCTCCACCAATAGCCCCTTTCAAAAAAAAATAATAAAAAAAAAAAACAACCAAACAAACAAACAAAAACACACCATATCCAGCAACGCTTTTAAGTACACTTCAAGAGAAAAGGGGAATCAAGCATAGGTGGGCCAGGCACACAGTTTGTAGTATGCAGACATATATGATTATCAGCCATCTTGGTAACATCTTCATTTACTGGGATCCTGTCCTCAGTAATTCAGCAGATTTGTAAAAGGCCAAAAGATGTGTAGATCCTAATTCTCAGGTCTGCCTTCTAGTTCTGTTTCTTTAAGGATTAAATTTTGTTTGTCTGTTTGTTCAATTTCTGTGTGATTTCTTCTGTATTTTTCAGCAGAATATATACATATGCACACATACAACTACATATGTATGTGTATTGTTTTGTAAATGTTCTCAGTCATGCTTTTTTCTGCTTTGCATCATTTATTCATATACCTTCCATGTTCTCATTTATTTTTTGTGCAACTAAACCTTATAATAAATTATTAAATATAGCCTAACAGTGACAGAGTCTTCATGTTTTATTTTCTTCTGGGCATGAGGGGAGATGTGGACGGGACTGAGGGAGGGAGAGAGGAAAGCAGGGGCTACACTTCTGTTCCATCCCCAAATAGAAAACACTGAAATAACTGTGATGAGTGGCAAGAAGTCTGTAAAACCACACAGTTGTCAGATACCAAGCTTCTGTGCATACTTTTAAATCTAGGTTCAAGGAGCTCTGATATATTTGCTTTTGTCAGCTGAATAGTACTGTTTGCCCAGCAGCAAAATAACACCTTCTGTGTGGAAAAACGTGGGTATTTATTATTCTATAGAGCTCTCAATTTGAGATGCAAGAATCATGGACATAGACAACATCAAGCACATTTTCTTTCTCACCCTGTCACATAAGCTCCTCATACACATAGATTTCTCAGACTGAATTAACCTTATGTAAACATATGCAGTTCCACTCTGCACATCAGAGCTGTTCTAAAATTGATACTTAAGAGTTCACCTACTGCGTAAAAATGTTTAAATTGTAGAAGTGCAAATAATCTCTAATTCTGCATATGAATCAAAGGATACATTAATGCTGCAGGCTGCAATACAACACTGACACACCTGGAATAGCCTGGCCCAGATGGACTGGACAGCCAAAGCAGCCCAGGCAGTGCTCAGCACAGTCAGTTTGACCTTCCACATCTTGCTGGTGCAAAGAAAATAAAGTCTTTGCTGCAAATAAAAGGCTTGCACTTTGATTACTTCATTCTTAAGAAAGAACCTAATGGTCTTTTCTTATGTTTGTGTGAGGCATTTCTGTAGTTGACTTAAATCTCTGTCTACCCGAGTGATGATTCTTCTCCTCTTCTTTCTGTCCTACTATGCATACCATGAAAATTGGATCTCCTATAACTGTTAGCAGGCTAGAAGAACATTAAAAAGAAAAAAAAAAGGTTGAAGTACTTTTCTCAACCATCAATAATTTATTTTTTTGTCTTCTTGTTTTCTATGAATACACTTCAGATTCAAGTCATATGAAAAAAAGAAGTTACAATTTGAATATATTTCCCAGCTGTCCTGCATCAGGTCCCTGGTAAAGCACCAGTGAAATGCTCCCTTCCCCTCCCATCCACACTTCAGATACCGACGCAGTCACTCCTACGTCAGTCTTATGACAACGTAATGTGACAGTGCCTGGGTGAACTGACATGGCAGGAAAGGTGGTTTCTGAAGCACTTTGATTGCTGGATGAAAAGCTTCATCCTGGTAAAACAGTAACCCAGCAGTTAGAATGAGAAAAATAGGCTTTATAAGGACATATTGGCAGTGGAGCTTACCACCAGCTCATACAGGAGTGAGATCTGAGAGAAAATAGGTGAAAAGCCAGTCTCATATACACTGTGAGAATAGCATCATTTCCATAAACACAACATAACTTCATACCCCAACTTAGGGCATGGAAGGGACAAGGCAGAAGCAGTGACATGGACTCCTATCTCTCTTTTAAATTTCAGGGCTTTAATAGGGTTATTATGGGGGAAAGAAAAGACTCAGAGTTCCAAAGCATCGATTGTTACAACACAAAAAGAAAGGAGAAGCACTGAAACAGCTGTCCCAAAGAATTATGTTGAAGCTGAACTGGAAGAAATAGATAAGACAAAGGGTATCATAGCATACAATTTTTTGCTTCAGTTTTACAAGTAGTGACTTGAGGACAGAAGACATTAATAACATACAAATAATAGAAAAGCTATCAAATCAAAAGGGGTAATTTGTTAATAACACGGAACAGAGTAGAATCTCTAAATGTACCTGTAAAGCATTGAAAAGTATTCATCAAAAATAATGAATAGCAGTAATCATACTTTGAAATCTTCAATTTTTCCTATTTATATATTTTAAGATTACTATAAGATTCAGGGGATATAAAGAGCAAATACAGAAGAGAAAGTTCTTAATAAATATACGGTACGATACATGAGTAACTCCATCTCAACAGGTGACCTTACCCAGGTCTGAATAGAGTACAAAATTTTTGATAAGGCCTCTGTGATCCTCTTCCTCTTCTTTCTGAAGATATACACTTAGTCAGAAACTCCCTCAGAAATCAATAAATACCATAAAAATCCAGGTGGACTAGCAAACTGTAACATGTATAAGATTAACACTGTTTCATAAAAGCCTGGACTCAGCTGAAAAGGCCCTTTGATTCAGGGGGAAATACAATAATATGTTGCCCAAAAGTTCCAGCGGCCTCATATGTTGTGGCAGGGGAAGGAATAGATTTTCTGCTCACTATTTCTTTTCATTGTGTCATGGTTTGAGATAGCCCCAAAATCCAATTCCCTAGCTCCATTCCCCCTCCCACATCTCAACTTAATGTGAGATGGGTTTTTCCAGACAAAACACACCAGACTCAAAGTGGGGGAAAGGGAAATATATTACAATGACTGTACAAATAAATACCATATCACATTATACACATGATCACAACTATCTCTACCATGACATATAGTATTTACAGTGGACCAGATCTCTTCTCCCCTCCAAATAAAAGTCCAGGAGGGAAAGAAGGACAGATCCCTTCCAGTCCTTAAGCAGCAGCATCTTCTGAGGCAGCAGTCTGTCTGTCTTCTCCACATGCAGCAGCTGATAGCTGGCTTTCTGCCAGCACTCACGAGGGAGGTATTCAAGCCTCTCTCGGCCCCATCGCCTCCAACCGAGGGGTCTTCCGTGGGCTTCGTAACCCCAGACAAGGTCGTTTCACCACGTCATATCACAAAGACACAGGGGGTCTTCGTGACGGTCTGGTATCTCCAGGAGACTCAGCTCCTTGCAGGGCCTCTGTGCCCTGTCTCTCAGGCTGCCACCGTGGCAGCAGTGCAAGGGGGGGAGAGCCAAGGTCAACTCCCCCCGCATTCCTCTGGCCGTCCCGGTCCAGCTCCAGGACGCTCTGAGCTTCTCAGCTCCTCTCTCTCTCTGGTGCTGCATGTCTAAAACTCTTCTCCTAAATAGGAGTCCATGTCCCTCTTCTCCAAGAGGGGTCTCAAGGGAGTTTTAGGGGATCTGGTACAGTCTTACCCCCAGAACTCTGTCTCTCAGACTGCTGGCTCTCTTTCTCCTCGGCTCTCTTTCCAGGAGTCTTCTCTCTGCGGTGCTGCATGTTGTTTCTGCTGCTCCTTCAGTTCAGGTGTTATCTCTCCTGGCTCTCTGCCACCGTTTCTCTGGTCAGTGCCGGCTGCTGCTCTGTGCCCATGGAGAAAACATCTCCCGGCATAACTACAGGCACCTAGCCCAGCTTTATGCTGTTCCAGGTCCCTGCAGCCCCCCAGCCAGGGGCTGGGAGGGCCCAGAGGGCCCAAGGGACTCAGAGCCCCTTCCTCGTGGCTCTATAACATGGCCACCTCTCCTGCAACAACCCAAAACTACAACTCATCTCTTCCGGTGAGCTTGTGGAATGTTGACATTTTTGCAGGAGCGCCCATTGGACAGAACTCCAAAACTTCCAGGGGTTTCCACCCCTTGGGGTCTACCACTTTTCTTAGCCTCTGGGGGAAAACAAAATTCAAACCACTACACATTGGAAGCAGAGAGATTCTGGATCAGACCACTAGCAATATTTGGCAAGGAATACACCAAACTTAGATAATGGTTAAAACTATTAGTTTGGATCCATCTGTGAGTATGTTAGAAGATCTAGAAAACCTCAAGATGTCACCTGGCCTCCTCTGTGCACAAATACGAATAACCTATGCCTAGTTCAATATTATTCCTGACAAATAACCCTTAACATGTTGTTTCAGCTAATACCACAGCAAGCATTTAGCTGACTAAGAACTTGAGTAAGCCATTTGTTTTTCTAAGATGAAAAAAGGGGGAAAAAAAAAAACAAAGAGAAAATGTCACTTTTTTCATAGGCTGTAGAACTGATTAAATTTTTCAAGGTTAAAATTTAGATGATAATTTTTTATTTTCACATATACCTTTTTTTAGTTGGTTCTGAATAGGATAGTAGGATGAGCTGTTGACACGTTCATACTTACCTGCTTCAGTATATTATGCAAATTGATTTGTTACTCACTTTTTGCAAAAAACAGTGATGATGCAGAAGATCAATAGGAAAACTAACAGTAAAACAGCAGGAGAAATTCCTCCAGCTATATAGGTAATAAACCATTTGTGATCCCAAGTTGCTAAAATATGATTGCAATAAATACGATTAGTATTTTGTATAAATATAGATCAGCATGAACTTTTTATGACAAAATAAATTGAAAAGTCAATGATTATATAAAGAGATTATTCCATGACAGCTCATGCTCAATATTCAGACTTCACAATTTTCTCATTTCTAAAACACTTTTGTTACGCTGAACTAGCTCTTCGGAAAGTTGTGACTGGTATGACCAAAGGTGAGTGAACACAGCACAGTGGTATGGAAAAAATAGCAATGCCTTGTATAATCCTTTTTTATCTTCTTCCCTCCCGTGGTGAGAAAGCAGTTCATACATAAGTGACTCAATATATGGTTAATAAAAGCTCTCAGGCTACTTCAGTGAATGTTCTTGGCTGGTAACAAAAAGCTGGGAGGAGTAGCTGATACCCCAGAGTCGCATGCAGCCCTTCAGGAGGACCTCAACAGGTTGGAGATATGGGCAGAGAAGAACTGTCTGAAATTCAAGAAAAGTGAATGAGGGGTCCTGTACTTGGGGAAGAATAACCCCATGCACCAGTACAGGCTGGGGGCCAACGTGCTGGAAAGCAGCTCTGTGGAGAAGAATGTGGGGGGTCCTCTGAACAACAAACTATCCATGAGCCAGCATGCACCCTTTTGGTCAAGAAGGTCAATGGAATCCTGGGAAGCATTAGGAAGAGTACTGCCAGCAAGTCAAGGGAGGTAATCATGCCCCTCTACTCAGTCCTGGTGAGGCCACATATGAAGTACTGTGTCCAGCTCTGGACTCCTGAGAGAGACATGGAACTCCTCAAGCGGGTTCAGCAGAGGGCTTCAAAGTTCACATAATCACAGAATGTGCTGAGCTGGAAGGGACCAACAAGGATCATCAAGCCCAAACCTTAGCCCTGCACAGGACCATCCCCAAGAGTAACACCATGCCCCTGAGAGCATTGTCCAAACACTTCTTGAACTCTGTCAGGCTTGGTGCTGTGACCACTTCCCTGGAAAGCTGTTCCAGTGCCCAGCCACTCTCTGGGTGAAGAACCTTTTTCTAATATCCAGCCTAAACCTCCCCTGACACAACTTCAGGCCATTCCCTTGGGTCCTGTCACTGGTCACCACAAAGAAGAGATCAGTGCCCACCCCTCCTCTTCCCCTCAGGAGGAAGTTGTAACTGCAATGAGGTCTTCCCTCAGTCTCTTCTTCCAGCAGAACATGCTAAGTGACCTCAGCCGCTCCTCATACAGCTTCCCCTTAAGGCCCTTCGCCATCTCTGTTGCCCTGATAGCTTAATATCTTTCTTATATTGTGATGCCCAAAACTGCACACAGTATTCAAGGTGAGGCTGCCCCAGTGCAGAACAGAGCGGGACAATCCCCTCCCTTGACCGACTGGTGATGCTTTGCCTGATGCCCCCAGGACACAGCTGGCCCTCCTGGCTGCCAGGGCACTGCTGACTCATATTCAACTTGCCATCGACCAGGACCCCCAGCTCCCTTTCCATGGCACTGCTTTCCAGTATCTCATTCCTCAGTCTGTACAAACATCCAGGGTTGCCCCATCCCAGGTGCAGTATCTGGCACTTCCCCTTGTTGAACTTCATGTGGTTGGTGATTGCCCAGTCCTCTGATTTGTTGAGGTCTCTCTGCAGGGCCTTCCTGCCTTCAAGGGAGTCAAGAGCTCCTCCTAGTTTTGTGTCGTCTGCAAACTTCCTTAGTATCCCTTCCAGTCCTGTGTCCAAGTCATTTATGAAGATGTTGAAGAGCACAGGGCCCAAGATGAAGCGCTGTGGAACCCCACTAGTGACTGATCACCAGTCTGATGTTACCCCATTCACTATCACCCTCTGTGCTTGAGCCATGAGCCAATTGCTCACCTACCACATAATGTATTTATCCAGTTGTCTGCTGGACATTTTTCCAGAAGGATATAGTGAGAGACAGCGTTGAAAGCTTTACTGAAATCCAAAAAGACTACATCAACTGGATTCCCTTGATCAGCTAGGTGGCTTGCCTTATCATGAAAGGAAATCAGGTTTTACAAGCAGGACTTTCCTCTCCTGAAGCTGTGTTGGCTGTGACCAATGACAGAGTTGTCTTTTAGGTGTTTTTCAATACTTCCCAGAATAGTCTCAAATGAAACTAAGGAGCAACACATAATAACTAAATGGTAGAGACAAACAAAACAATAGTTTCAAGGTGTAAGCCAATATATTCTTATAGTGTTCAAGTCTGTGGAAAGGTAATACTCATTTTTGAGGTGAAAAACTGGAGAAAAGAACAGAGGTGATATTATCAAAGTCATGCAGGTAACCCACAACTCAAATCCTCAGCAATCCATTGGTGAACAGGGACTAAAAAACTGTCTTCAGGTGTAGTTCCTCTTTAATATTCTTCTCACTGTACAGAGGTGAAACCACAGCTGCCCCAAGGTACTTTCAATTCTGGGTAGACAAGAAAGTTATGTGCTTAGTTCACAGGCAAAGGAAAATAATCAGTACCGCTAATGACAATAATCCCAGCTAACCAACTGCTGAGCCATCACCAGATGGCTTTTCTCTCCTGCATCAAAACGTTCACAGCTTCTTATCTGGCTATCCTGAATACCAGATGAGGCTTGCTAACATATTCCTTTTTACTATTAATGTCCTCACTGGAAGGGATAACGAAAAATACTGATTACGGAAGAGCCTTATCCTTGAATTCCAGTGTTATTTTACTGGAAAGAAAAAAGAAAGAAAATTCTCTCAGAAGTATACATGTTGTAGGTATGTGACACTTCAGAGAAGGTTGTCTGATAACAAAAACCAGTATCTTTTGTGTTATAACCACATATGAAATCACTCTACTTCCAGAATGTTTTCAGCTCCAGTGTACTTAAAATGACAGGATAGTGCATATAGTTATGTCCAAATTATAATGTCTTTTTTTCCCAGATTTTATGCCACCCACCATAGAAAATCATTATCTGTGTCAGTGAATACTTACAGAAATATGAAATATAAGCAACAAGGGAATTTTTTTAAGTCTTGTATTTAATTGTCATCAAGGATGGGTGAATCTGGATAGAGTTGCAGAGTTCAGAAGCATCCCCATCCTTCAGTTTAACTGCTTTAGACTTCATTACTCTTTTTCGGAAGTTTCACATTCAGTTTTATCAGGTCAAGATAATAATCCCTCAATTAATGAGTTTGAGAGCTGAGATTATCAGCTGTCAGTTAAATTCGGATGAGAAAAATTAATAGATTTTTTTTTTAGCTAACAACAGCTCAAAGTCCTTTTGCTTTTCTCACTTGAAGTGAGCAAAACCTTCCTTAGGCATTTGTTTTCTTTAACTATACAAAACCTTTTGTAATTACTGACTTTAACATCCCAGTCAAGCTTTTGCAGAAACATGTCAGATGCATGTCATGTGTCTCTTTAGTTCTTATGTTCTCAACAAAGGTTATATGCTGACAGGAGGTTATTAAGTATATTTCCAACATCAGTACAGTTTCTGTTAAGTATTGGACAACCCATCATAGCCTTAGTATCTTCTCTGCAAGTGTGCAAAAATTTTTTGTAGGAAGGTTTTCAACCTTCAGTGCTCCAACTTTGGTTTAGAGGAGGGAGCACTGATGAGTCATACAGTTATTTGTTTTAACAGGAGATTTGAACTTCACTGTCAAGACCTTCATGTATTTTGTCACATACATTGCTGGATTGGCACATATGGTGTGCTAACTAGACATCACTGAAAAAGTTTTCCACACAACTGAAAGGCAGAAATCCAGCACAAATGCATTCATGCCTAGAGAACAGTGGTTTGTTGAGTAGAGACCCACAGATATGGTTTGATACCTAGTGTTTGTACTGAATGATTGCATGAAGGAAGACAGAAGCTAATTTCATTCCTATCCTGGTTCTGCTCACCCCCTTACTGCAGTCTTACCTTCTGGCTGTTTCCTATGGCCCAGAGCTCCTCCCAGCTCACAAGGGCTATATGATAACCCCCAATGACTGGACAAATAGTCCCTGCTTTTCATCTGGATGCTATGAAGATCCTATTGGGTGCAATTGAAAGACATTTAAGGGCACAGTCAACATGCATTCACAAAGAGAAAGTCCTGTTTAACTAATTTGATATCCCTCTGCAATAAGGTCACCCATCTTCTGAGTAAAAGAAACAAATCCATCCTGTCTCTGCACCTGGGATGGAATAATTCTGGACACAAGTATAAACTGGGAGAGAAGCAGCTAGAAAGAAGCCCTGCAGAAAGGGATGTAGGGGTCCTGGTCAGCAGCAGGCTCAGTGTGAGTGATCCGTGTTCACAGGGCAAATCACATCCTGGGGTTCATCAAACTCAGCAACACCAACCGATTAAAGGAGGTGATTATCCCACTGTAATCAGTGTAGGTGAAACCTCAATCTGAGCCCTATGTGCGCTTCTTAGCCCCACAAATTTAGAAGGACATGAAGGTACTTGAATGTGTGTAGAGGAAGGCAAAAATGCTGGTAAAAGGGTTAGTACAAATGTAATTCTGACCCCCTAAACATACATGTAAAGACAACTGCCAACCACCTTTTCAGATCTAGTGGGAACACACAGAAACATGTTTCTATTTTATTTTGTCCAAGAGAGCTTGCTATCCCATTTTCTGCTAAGGCAAGAAAAAAACGTATTAAATCTTCCTAAAAATGTCTAGGTCTTCAGGATGTTTAGGTCTTTCAACCCTGCTAAATTTTCAGTCCTTTCATATGACATCTCCCCTTCTTTCTGAATCATCTACCAAAACTATATGAATTATAAATGTACTTCCTTTCTTCAAAGACTGTCTCAAAGAAAAAAGCATGGTAAGAAAAAAACCAGAAACAGGTTCAGACGTGAAATCTGGTGTCATGAACAATCTCTCTATTGATAGAATTTTTAGAAGAAGAGATATGGTGAAGAACACATCAGAAATGAATCCCAGGTCTCTTGAACACGTTGTATAATTATGTAATACTCAGCTTTCTGTTTCTGTAAGAGTTGTCCAACAAAAACTACATTTTTTTACATACACATTGCCTTATATGTTCCAGATTTTGAGGTCAAAAAATATTTGCAGATGTCCAATTTCAGCTGGAAATTCCTGTTTCTGAAAAACAAATCACAACATTTAGTGGGATAGAATCGATAAACTTAGTGATAATTAATTGATGTCATGGTTTCATTTTCACTAATGTTCAAAAATATTAAGTGCATGTTGACTTCTGCTGATACAACTGCAAGAAGTGCTTTCACAATGCTTGAATACCTATTCCTTCCTCTCTCCCTTTTTTCTTCACAGGCATTCCATGTTGTTTTTCTTTGCAAAAATATATTAACCTTTAGATAAGAAGAAAACTGCATCTTTCGACTGTACCACCTCTTGGAATCAGCAGTTTTTGAATTGTTATCAGTTCTGCAAGTAATCCTGTGCTCTTAATACTGCTTTTCACCCAAGATTCCTCTTCTTTAAAAGTTCTTGAGGTCTTTTCAAAAACAGTTTCAAAAAAAGAAAAAAAAAGAAAGAAAGGGTTCTTATCTTTTATCTTACCATCTCTCAACCTAAACAGAGTTTTCTATATTACTGTTTACAGTGCAGTTCTCCTCTCACCACCTAGACTCAGTATTTCAAAAAAACTCTGGCTTTTCCCATGCAGAATCACACCAACAGACTTAAGCGTTGGAAGAGTTTGGTAGCAAATCCAAGCTACAGTGTGGCTCAGCTGTAATGCTAAGTCAAAGAAAATTACATGACTGAACTGGTAGAAAATACATAATAAAAATAGTGTGTCAGGTTCCTGGCACCACTTGGTTTACTCAAGCCAGAACTGTTGGATCAAGAAGAGTAAGTCACTCATGAGCCTGTGAGAGACTTCACTAGCTGTGTCACCAGGTGAGATGGAAGCTAAAGTAAACAGAAAATATTTCTATTGCTCTACAGTTAGGATATGCTTGATTATATCAATTCAGGCAACATTTTGAAATTCCAATGTTTAAAATTGTCAGAGGTGAGAGGACATTTTGTCCTGTTTTCTCTATTCTTCTCTATTCTCTTAGTTCCTCTATTCTTACATTCTGCTCACTTTCATGGATTTCTGTGGTCAAGTATTCAGAGTTGTAGTGGTTTGAACCTTGTTTTCCCCAGAGGCTAAGGAAAGTGGTAGACCCCAAGGGGTGGAAACCCCTGGAAGTTTTGAAGTTCTGCCCAATGGACGCTCCTGCAAAAATGTCAACATCCCACAAGCTCACTGGAAGAGATGAGTTCTAGTTTGGTCATCATGTTTTTTTCCAAGTACAACCTTCACTTCTCAATTAACCTAATCACGGATTAAATATATTCTGCAGTTTTACACCCCATGCCACAGTATTGTCAAAGAGATGTCTACTAACACTCATGTATTACCAGGAACAAAAGCAGAAAAATGAAAGCTGAACTGAATGCAGCAACAGAAGAAGGAATGGGCTGGTACAAGAATCATGTCTTCAAAACATGTTCTATAGAGAAGAAGCAAAACCAAGTCTTTTTCTTTTTTTTTTTTTTTTTTTGAGTCATAACAGAAAGTAAACATAAAGGTGGGATTCAACACACAGTTTGAGAAATCTTGGGTCTGTGTGTGGGGACATGTAGCTCCCATTATAAGCTAACTGTGACAATAGTTACAGCAAAACCTAGAAAGCTGAGAGAGCTCCATGAGGAAACTCCCTACCTGAATAAAGTAGAGGTCAGTTTACAAAATTCTACATTTTCAACTGTGAGTGTGCTCTTTGCCTTCACTGAAGGACAGGTCTCATCCTCAGGGCCCTGCAGTACACTGCGCTAATGGGGAATTTCCCTTGTGCCTTCTTTGGTAGAATGCCCACCTCTCCCTACAAACTAAGGCAATCTTTCCCCTTCCAAAGCATCTCTTTCTTCTAAGTCATATGAGGAGTGGCTGAAGGAGATGGGCTTCTTTAGCATGGAGAAAAGGAGGGTCAGGGGAGACCTTTGCACTCTCTACAGCTACCTGAAAAGGTTGTAGAAAGGTGTGGACCAGCCTCTTTTCCCAGGCAGCTAGCAATAGGTCAAGAGGCTCCCTCAAGCTTCAGCAGGGGAGTTTCAAGTTGGACATTAGAAGAATTTCTTCACTGAAAGGGTGGTCAGGCATTGCAACAGGCTTCCCAGGCAGGTAATGGAGTCACCGTCCTTAGAAGTGTTCAAGAAACAACTGACATGGCACTTAGTGTTATGGTTTGGTTGACATGATGGTGTTTGGTCAAAGGTTGGACTTGATGATCTTGGAGGTCTTTTCCAACCTTAATGATTCTATGATTCTATTCTATTCTATTCTATTCTATTCTATTCTATTCTATTCTATGATTCTTAACATCAAAACAGTTGCTCACAAACAGTTCGACACTCCTATAATGAGATCAGACGAGCTTAAAGCCAGTTTATTTCTGTGGAAATGAGATTGTTAACTTTGCTGTCTTTTACATCCTGCTAATTGGAACACAGTACTTAAATAAATCCTCACTTGTTACTGAAGAGTTATTTTGTATGGGTAAAAGTGCTAATGCGTCAGAAGGTCCTGTTTTGAAAACATTTAACACTTCTTCCTTAACTTACCAGCCACAGTAGAACTCATTACATAGGTTTTGTTTCTTCCAGCAGCTACACAGCAGTACATTGCAAAGTCAGAGGCTGCAATGTTTCAAAAGAAAATCCTGGAGTTTGCCTGATGAGAACAATCCACCCGTGTATGCTCTTTGAAATCTGAAACAAAGCTTTGCTTTCCTGAAGAGTTGCACAGAATGACAATATCTACTCAATTTGCTTTAATCCTTTCCAACGTTGCTTGCTGCACCAAATCTCCAATTTTATAAAGGTAAGAAAAAATAACATTTCCTCCTGCTTTGGTAAACATGGTATTGTTTTGTTTCTCAGACACTTCAAAAGCATCTGTTGAAAAACACAAAACTCAACAAAAACCTGCTTATAACTGACTCAAGGGAAATGCAATATCAGCAATGCCTATATGGCAAATATTAATGAAATTGACTTACAGCAGAAAGATATTCAAATAATTTGAAATGCTGAAAAATATTGTTTATACCCATCTATGACTATATTTTTGTGCACATTTAGATAAAACTGTTTATAGAACTGTGGGGCTGTGATGACACTGCAAGAAAGCTATTTCTATGCATTTCGAGTACATGAATGTTCTATTAACAATTTCAGAAATTCAGCAGCATAAATTATGGGGCCAGTCTAATTAAATTTGTGATAGTCTTGTTCTGCTTTCACACTAGTTATCATAAGAAAGTGGTTTGATGTGACCCTCAGGACATGCATTAGTAAATTATGGTAAAAGTCATTCCAGCCTATGAACTGCAATTCCCCCATTCACAAACCTTACGTCTTCAATAAAAAAATTTTTATCTCTTCATATTCTCTACTTGTGAAAAACCGCTGTGATTGTCTGTGGTATGAAAGACTTCCAGACAAATTCAAGACTTCAATCACGTAGAAACCATAGATACATTATATCTCAAACGATTTTGACTGAAATCCCCTTGCTCTGTTATTGTTTTAGTAATATAATTCACTGATTACAGATTAAGAAAATAAATTTTTAAAAGTCTTCAATTGAAAGAATGTCAATTTCTCTGATATTCAGAGCCACTTGATTTCTAACAACTTTGTAATGCCTTTGTCTTGTAAGTTAGGACTAGCACTGTCATCTTTCTGAAGAATTTAATGTTGGAAAAGATTAATGATCAGACTGTTTATCCTACATTGTAAAATCATTAATCTTTCAAGTTCTTCAGTGAGATCCTTATTTTTATTAGATGTTTTTAAGCAAAAGAAGTTACTACTGTATATTTTTAATGTGTTTACCTCTATCTGTGGCAACAACTGGAAAGTAAATATCTGACCTAGGAAGAAATTATTCCATTAATGTTGACAGGATAGAGTCCCTTGTGGGAGCCTGTAACTTCAGAGACTTGTTCAATCTCTGTGAAAGAGTGAATGAAAAAGTCTAACCTGAAACTTTTTATCAATGGAACACAGCACAATAAAATTACATTCCCTCTGCTTTTGGAGACCAGAAACATGATTAAAACATTGAAATATTGAAAGACAAAAGGAACTGCGTCTAATGAGTTTACCTAAAAGAAAATTATTAAGGACTTAAAGATCCATGTAGACTGCAATCAAAGAGACTGAAAGTTAATGACAGAAAAGGACAGAAGAGAAATAAATTCACTAAATTAAACAGAAGGTACAATACAGTGAAGCTAATTGATTCCTTGGACAGCTTGCCAAAGACAGCTAAATTTCTATTACTGAAGTTGACTGCCAAGGCTGGATAATCATTTAAGTTATCATGCTAGTTCCAGCAAAAATTTTTATTCATGGAAGTCTAAGTGTTATTTAAATTAGACTAAATGACTGCTATGATGGGACTCTACACTTGCAAAATATGTTTGTTGAAGTGCAGTCCCTCAAAATTCACTGCAATAAAACAGGTAATTTTTTTATACCTAGCAGATGCAGATCTGTAGATTCATTCAGATCTGCTAGGGAAGTAAATGAAAAAGTCATTGAAATCAATCCTCTCTCTGATTTGTCATATTCTTTGAGGTCAGATACTTTCCTCAGACCTCTAAATTCCAGCAACTGCCTGCTTTACAGTAAACTGCATATTCCTTCCAGAGAAGTCTTCCCCTTCTTCATTGTGCAGTCTTTGCTGTCATCTGCCACTATGAGCAAGCCCTACTGCTGTCCACATTCTCCTCAGAAGCCTTGAGGTCTCCCTGTCTTCTCCTGGGTCCATCTTTCTGGTCCTGTTTGTTTCATAGCAATGCCACCCTGAACTCCAGGTATGTCAACATGCTTAATAGGGAAATTATGTGTACAATGATGCTGCCTCCCACCTTCCAGAGGATTCCCATCTGACCCAAATGACAGCTAGCCAGGACCTTGTAACAACCAGACTTCTTCTCTGCTGCTGTGCTGTATATTTTCTAGAAAAATGTACATTACACATATGGTCAAGTGGGAACAAAAAGATAAAATATTTTCTACCAGAATTATTAAAATCCCCACTGTCTTAAAATTTATTAGTTAACTCTTGTGTTATATTTGCCAAACAACATATCCTAGTTTCTCAATAATACATGATATTACAATATTGTGATGTACTTTAATAGGTACCTTGCAAAGCTAGGGTTGCCTTTCAAATTCGGTGGAGACTTTCCAGATACGAATCTTGATATAATTGTATAACCTGCTGGTATTCGAATAATGAATGTTAGGTTAATAGTGAGAACTGTACACAAACAGCCAAATTAAAATAGAAACAGTTTGGAGATTCTTGGCTGTTCTATATTCTATCATAACTATTTTCAAGCACAGATATTATGACTTCTTTTTTTGGTATATGTATTTTATCTGAAACTATGCAGCAACATTAAGGTATTTTCACTCTTGATGAACAGTGTAAATGCTTCCCCTTCTTACAATATGGTGCATTGAACAATTTATATGATTATGTAAGGTACAAACAATGGAGAATCAGGCCTACATCTTTCTAATTAGATCTTCTAAGGACACCAAAATATTCCAGGCTTTTGTTTTAAGCAATTGTCCCATTTTATTTTGATACCAGCATCAGCAGAGTTCTTTCATCTTCCTTCTCCTCTGTTCAACCACTCACTTGATTTAGCACCTTTCTAAACAGTTTCTTTGCTTTCAGTCGGGTACATGTGGGATGCAAACCTCCCGCTCTGAGAAACATTTCTACAGGAAAAAAGCACACCCACGCACCTTCACCCCTACACATGCACAACCTAAGGTGACACACCATGCGTGAACATTTCAGAAATCCTAAATAAAAATTTCTCATTACATCTGATAAAAATAGGCTTCGCCTGCCTGCTGCTTACTCCAGACACTGCCACTTGCTGCCCATGGTCATGTCATCCTGCTTCCTGAATAGAAAGTAGGAGGAGGCGAGAGCACTCACGGTCCATGGGCCTCTGCTTAGTAAGGAAGTGCTCTATGCTTGTTATCCTCCATGCACCTGTTTCAGCAAGATGTTATCTCATATTTTGCAGTTGTATCTATTTTTATCTGCTATTATTTAAAGGGGAAAAATGCAAGCTTTCATATTTTTAAGATACATAATCTTCTAATATTTTTCTTGGAAAGCAAATCTCAGAAATATAGAGGTATAAAAGAGTTTAGACCAACCCTACAGGATTTAAAGGATCAAACAACTAAATTAAAATTCTGCAGCAGAGAAATAGTTGAAGTTGAGAAAATCTTTTGGAGAAATAATAAAATAATGGTGTGATTTCCTCCCTGTTCCCTGCACTTGCTACAAGGACTTAAAAATCAAGACAAATCTCATGTAAAAATTTGATCCCAATTCTTTGGGGTACCGATTTTCAGCCTTTCTCCTTTTTTCCTTCATATATCATCTACTTATTTTTTTATTTTATTTAGTTTGGGTTTGGGAGGTTTTTTTGTTCTTTTGCTGTCTGATAAGACACAAATCAGCTGATTTTGTTTCTTCAGAAGGAAGTTGCTTAGATACCTTTACTTGTATTCAGGTATTCATTTTTAAATTCAGTATCTATGATGTTTTAGTTCCTGTTCACTGTAATTTTCACCAGTCCCACACATATAATTTTCCACAAGTTCCAAAGTTGCACTCTGGATCTGGATTGCACATCAATCTCATGCACTACTCCTGGTTTAAAATCATATACAAAGAAAACAAGATTCAAACTTCAACATCAGCTCTGCAACTCCAGAAAGGCAAAATTCAGTAAAATCAAGAAACAGTAAAATAAAATGTATTGAGATACCCTCCTGTCTTAACACATTTCTGTATCTCTGCAGAGGCTTAAAGCGCAGGTCAAGTACTAACAGACCTGGTTTTATACCAAGACAGTTGCACCAGTTGATGGAGGCAAGTGAACACAGAGCCGAGCAACAAATGAAGGGAATCGTATCCTATCCTAAGCCAGACCAGCACAAAGATATTTTCGATGTGCTTGCATTTATCAAAAGGTCAGAACAAGCTCATAGTTCTCAGACTGATGGTAGCAGAGCTGCCTTCAAAGCAGTTGCCCTTAGGAAGTAATGTTCTCCTTCAGAAATAACTAATGATCTTAGCAGACTTATCAAAACTGCAAAGCTATCTTAACTCTACAGCAGAGACAGGTTCCCAGGTCCCACTTGGTTTGCTGAAGCTCCACATACAAACACAACTTTCTTCATCTGCTTGAAATGAGCAGTGACGAAAAAACAATTGCAGATGAAAAGGAGGCTTAAAATTTTATGAAGATGAACTTTCTCTGGGGCTCTTCTTTTCACCAAGAAAATCAGCTTTCAGGAGAGAAAATATTTTGAGTGAACCCTTCACCTTTACTGAATAGACTAAATAAGGCATTATATTTGGCTCCTAAACTGTCTTCCAACTGTATTAGCACATACTACATGATTTTGTTGAGTTTCTATAAACACAGTTTTGCCCTTTTTTGGATGACACAGAGTAACATTGAAGCTTAACTATTAAATAAGTTGGAAGAGTAAAGATCTCCATTGTAATGAGCTCCTGACACCAGTTCTACCACCAGACCAGAAACCAGTAGTAGTGTTGTGTTTGAAAAGAATGCATTCTCCTAATAACAACTAATTGGATCATAAAAATTAAAGTGAAAATACTTATACTCCCATAACCTCAAAATATCCCTTTAAATATATATTAAATTTTATTGCTAAAAACTTGGTGAATCTTTCCGTACACATTATTAATTCTGCATAATATTCTGACCACTTAACATACAATTTTAATTCACCTGCCAGTTCCAGGTTGTTTGCAAATATTCCATTACTCTTTGTTGCTATTTTACTGGTTTGAGCTGAACTTTATTTGCCTAGAG